GTGTTTCCCAGGTAGACCCGGTCGAGCCTGTCGAGGTAGCTGTTGACTCTGGTCCTGCGCGAGGTACTGAGACTAGGGGTGCTGAGCCTGGGGGTGCGGAGACTGCGGGTGCTGAGCCTGGGGGTGCTACGACTGCGGGTGCTGAGCCTGGGTGTGCTACGACTGGGGGTGCTGCGCCTAGAGGAGCTGAGGCTGGAGGTTCTGAGACTGATCGTACTGCGCCTGTTGGCGCTCCCTCTTCACAGCAGCTGCGTGAGTGGTACTCCCAGCGTTACAGCCTCCGTCGTGGGGCTGCTGGTGTTGAGGCTGGTTGCCCTGCGAGTGCAGTGTCGCAGCCGGAGCCTCCCTCCCCTCAGTGGCTCCGTGAGTGGTACGCTCGGCGCTGCAGCCTCCGGAGTGGAGCTCCTGGTGTTGAGGTACCGCCCGCTGGAGGCCCTGCTACTACTGGAGGTCCTGGAGCTGCTGGAGGTGCTGCTGGTGCTGGTGCTGCTGGAGGTGCTGCTGGTGGTGCTGGGGGTGCTGGAGCTGCTGGAGGTGCTACTGGTGCTGCTGGAGGTTCTGGAGCTGCTGGAGGTGCTGCTAGCGCTGCTGGAGGTTCTGGAGCTGCTGGAGGTGCTGCTGGTGCTGCTGGAGGTTCTGGAGCTGCAGGAGGTGCTGCTGGGACTGCTGGAGGTTCCGGTGCTGCTGGAGGTGCTGCTGGTGCTGCTGGAGGTTCTGGAGCTGCAGGAGGTGCTGCTGGGGCTGCTGGAGGTTCTCGTGCTGTCTCTGCTGCTTCTGGGGGCACTTCACGGCCGCGGCCGTACTTCGTTCCGCTCCTTCAGCAGGTTCTTAGTCAGCCGCCTCCTCCTAGTCCTCCTCCCTCCTTAGAGTGTCCTCCGCCTGTCCAGTCGCAGCCACAGCTACCGCCTGCCTCGCCACTTCCTGGTCCTTCTCCCTACACTGGTCCGACAGGCGGTCTTACAGAGCGTCGTGAGCCTGAGTCTTGTCGTGTGTCGCCTGTGTCTCGTCCTGTGTCACCTGTTCGTGCTGCACGCACTGGTCGCCGTGCTCCGCGTGAGCGTTGTCCACCTGTCCCTGGCACACACTATATGACTCTGCGTCCTTCCACTGCTCCACAGCGTGTCCCTCTGCCGTCTCCTCCTGCGTCCTCTCTTCCTGTTCTTGCTGACCCGGAGTCTGACTCTCTTCGTGCTGCCAGTCCTACTGTCATGCGTCTCCTGGCCACTGCTGTCACTGACCCTTCCTTTGAGTCTGCTGATGCGTCTGCCCTAGTTGCTGAGCTTGTCGACTTTGCTGCTTGCTGTCGTCTAGACTACGCCGCGAGTCTTGTTGCTGGGTCTGAGTCTGTCTGTCCTCCGTCCGTCGGGGGTGAGTGTGCTCTTAGCACGGACGTACTTGAGGACAGACCGGAGGACCTTGAGTGTCTTGCAGCTGTTGCGCCTCATCTCGTGTCCATGCTGCTTGCCCCTGAGGGAGACCCGGATGCTACTGACATCCCGACCCCGCGCTCTTACGCTGAGGCGATCGCGGGTGAGTACTCCTCTCAGTGGCAGTCAGCCATGGACGCAGAGATGGCATCCTGGAAGTCCACTGGCACTTACGTAGACGACGTTCCCCCTCCTGGGGCGAACATCGTCAGTGGCATGTGGATTTTCAGGGTGAAGCGGCCGCCAGGTTCTCCGCCTGTCTTCAAGGCTCGTTACGTTGCTCGAGGCTTCAGTCAGCGAGAGGGAGTAGACTTCTTTCAGACCTTCTCCCCCACCCCGAAGATGACCACTCTTCGGGTGCTACTGCACGTTGCTGCTCAGCGTGACTACGAGCTTCACTCTCTTGACTTCAGCACAGCTTTCTTGCAGGGGAGCCTGCACGAGGAGATCTGGCTGCGCCGCCCTCCTGGCTTCAGTGGGTCGTTTCCTCCTGGTACCCAGTGGAGCCTCCGGCGGCCGGTCTACGGTCTTCGTCAGGCGCCACGTGAGTGGTACGACACACTGAGGACTACTCTTGCGGCACTTGGGTTCGCGCCTTCTACTGCTGACCCGTCGCTGTTTCTGCGCACCGACACTTCGCTGCCACCGTTCTACATCCTCGTGTACGTCGACGACTTGGTCTTTGCCACTGCTGACACTGAGGCTCTCACCCACGTGAAGTCGGAGCTGCAGAAGAGACACACGTGCACAGACCTGGGTGAACTGCGCAGCTACCTTGGCTTGCAGATCACCCGGGACAGAGCACGGCGCACCATCACACTGACTCAGTCACACATGGTGCAGCAGGTCCTTCAGCGCTTCGGCTTCACCTGGTCCTCAGCACAGGCCACTCCTCTGGCTACAGGTCACTCGCTCTCAGCTCTGCCTTCGGATGAGTCCGTAGAGCCGAGTGGTCCTTACCCATAGCTAGTTGGTTGCCTCATGTACCTGATGACTTGCACTCGTCCTGACCTAGCGTACCCTCTTGGCCTTCTGGCCCGCTACGTGGCTCCTGGTAGGCACCGAAAGGTGCGCTAGGATGCTGCAAAGAGGGTATTGCGCTACTTGTGCAGTACATCGGGCATGGGGCTCGTGCTCGGAGGGAGGAGCCCAGTTGTTCTCACTGGACACTCAGACGCTTCTTGGGTTGACGACCAGGCTACTCAGCGGTCGTCACAGGGTTACACCTTCAGCCTTGGCTCTGGCTCAGTTTCGTGGCGTTCTACGCGTTCGTCTTCAGTTCTCAGCTCCAGTTGTGAGGCTGAGATCAACGCCACAGCCATGGCTGCACAGGAGTTACGCTGGCTCACCTACCTGCTGACCGACCTGGGAGAGCGGCCTAGTTCTCCTCCAGTGCTGTACGTCGACAACAAGGCCGCCATTGCCTTGTGTCAGGAGCACAGACTGGAGCAGAGAACGAAGCACATCGCTCTACGTTACTTTCTGGCTCGAGAGTTGCAGCAGCGTGGTCAGCTTCGTCTGCGTTACGTGGCCACTCAGGCCAACACTGCTGATATATTCACCAAGGCACTTCAGTCTGGTGATCATCAGCGTTTCTGGACTTTGCTAGGGCTTGTGCCCACTTTTCCTCACTTGTTGTAGACTCTGTCTGTACTGTGATCTATATATATATACCTGCATGCTTGCTTTGCTAGGTATAGTTCACTGTGATGCTTGTGTTACATATATGCTTCTTTCTTGTGTTACATATATGCTTCTTGCTTGTGCTCAGAATGTGTGGTGACGTTGTGATCCACCCTGAGCTTTGCTTTGTCTTTCTTGACTGGTCTTGTGACCTCTTGTTCTCCCCCACTTAGCCTATGGGGGTGTGTCAAACATTGCATATGTTTCTGTTTTGTAGGCTACAGTGGGTCAGCCTTTAGGGTGTACATTTCTCTAGGGTTTCATACTTGTACCCCCTCATGTTTCTAGTTGACCACTTCTTGATTCTAACAAACTCCTGGTAGGATTGATGTGATAGCGGAAGCGTTTAATGAAAGGTTGTGAACCACCTTGCGCTGGTATGTGAGGGCAAAGTAGATTGATAATAACAAAGAGGTACAAGCTTTTATAAGAGTACAAGAGAATATGAAGAGTTATAACTAATAACCGTTTTGCTGTTGCTGTTGCGGTTCGATACAGTGACGACTCGGGCAACTGCTCAATAGCGAGTCAGTTGTTTGTCCTTGCTGTCGCGCTGTACTTGTCAGGTCAAAGGTCGCTGGCCTTTAACTTTCGCGTAACCTCCAGCAGTTGTTCAACCTCCGAGGGTTGATTCGCTGATGCTTCGATATGTTTCGCTTCGTTTCTGACTTGGTGTTTCGACACGACAGAGGCGCTTAAATCAATTGTTTCCAACAAAGCAAGCCCTTCTATTCGAGTGGTTAGTGGTTGAGATTCTTACAGTAATGTTGTTTCGTGGCGAGTGATAATCTATGCGAGCTACTTAAATAACATCATGTGTGATGGTTCTACATAATTTTTCGCCTACATGAGCACCGAAATAGCAAGTGAGGAACATAGTGTTGCTTGCAATGGTGTGGGCTTTCATGAAATGCATTTCATAATAGCAGTGTAATTTAGCATTTTTCTAGTTGGGTGTTCCAAGGTGTTGCTCATTCAGGATAATTCAAAAAGCTCCAGGCGTCGGCTCCCCCTGTTTCCCGCCAAATTCCTGCTGTCAGAGTTCTTCAAACCGTAGCCTGCCATTCTCGGGACTCGCCATTCCCGCGGGGATTCAAAACTTATTCATGGATGGCGGCTTGTCATGAACCGTCAGATGTGCAGAGCTCCACATTTTCAGTGCTAATCGGCACCATACGTTCAACAGAACTGGTCAGGGAATGATGCAAACCAACAAACTCCAGAACAACCCAATCTGGAGCTTCATCAGCCTGAACAGTTTCTGGCTGGAGATTTCCATCAGCCTAGGGAACACATTCAGGCTGGACTGTAGAATTCTGGAATCAAGGCTCTGCATTCGGGTATCGTCGTCTAAACTCTACTGTTTAGATTTCTAGTTTCGTCGTCGCCTAGACTCTCCTATCCCTAGTTTCGTACGGACTACTCAAGGTTTTCTTCAATTAGTACCAGGTACGACGTATCGGAGCAGCCATAGCCTGACTTGGATTGTCTACCCGTTGGACTGCGAAGCTATTTTGAGCATGAGGACACAGGATAAGCTTTAGAAGTTTATGCTGCTTGATATCTTGAGGGACCCGTTACTGAAATAGAACCTCGTCAAGATGTCGGGCTGGATGTTCGGCGCGCCGGCTTCGAAGACCCCGGAGCCGAAGCGAGAAAGGCATCCGGATCAGATTATCCAGTCACTTGAAGCGGATAATAAAGCGAAAGAAGATAAAATCCTGAACCTGGAGCAGATCCGTATCAGGCAATCCAAGGTCAGTTTTTCAAGAGTTTCCCACTCTTTCTCATAAGTGCGTATTGGACGCGTCTTGAGCTCTTTCATGAAGTATCTTTCTTAATGATTAACCTGTAACTATTCGCGATTTTTCCTTGATTCTACTCTTTCAGGAAATTGTAGATCTCAAGTCAGATCAAGATGCTGTCCGCAAGGTAAGCACATACGTCACGTCTCAGAAGAATCGTCGTTGTGTCTGCAATAATCACAGGTTAATAATGGTAATTGTATTGTTTTGGTTTTTGCTGTTTTTCCTCAGGAAATGAGTAACTTCGTCGACGCAATAAAGACCATGAAGGAAGAGTCTTCAAAACGAACTCAGGTATCAGATTTTCTTTGGAGCTGTTTTAAACAAACATTGACAAAACTATCGTCTGCAAGTCTGCAAACCAACGTCATTCTGCCTTACTTGTCGAAACCAATTTCTTATACACAATACATCGCAAAATCGTTGCTCGTTGACTCTCGCAGGAGCTTCAGGTCTCCGAGCGGGAGAAGATGAACCTGATGACGCAGCTTCAGCGGCGCGATGCGGAGGTGAAGGGCCTTCAAGACAAGCTTAAGGAGACGCAACTGCTGTTGAAAACGGAAAGCGAGGTAGCCAACGCAGCGTTGGCTATAGCGAAACAGGTACTGGAGCATGGTAACGCGTACACGATTTCTCGAAGTAACTCTTGATGTATCGATCTATCGTTTCGCAGCACTGACCTGCACTTGTTACTTGCTCGCTTGCGCTGCTCTGGACTGGATGATGTGAGTTTAGGAGGACAGTGCGCACGCCAAGAGGTTGAGACATCACAGAGATCATTATTTCTCATGCTGCTTCGGTTTGGCTGTCGCTTGTGCAGGAAAAGGAGGGTGAGCGCGTTCGTTACCTTGAAGAGCTGAAGAGGAACGTGGACAAGCAGAGACAAGCGGCGACGGTCCGAATCCAGTTGGAAGACCAGTACGTACTTCAATCTCAGTCCGAAGCTCAGGCATCTTGCTCCGAAGCTTAGGCATCTAGCTACTCTACGCTCTTGTTTTTCATTAACGACGTAGTCGAGAAGAGAGAGGAACGCTGCTCTTGTAGTTTTGAAGCGTTTTTGACATGCTTTGGTGGCTCACCCTGTTGTTGATTAACTGTGTTTTTATTTTCTGCGTCTTTGGAACTTTCAGGGTTGAAGCTCTGAAGTCGCAGCTGAAGGATCTGAAAGAGCAGGACGAAGCGAAGGTTACAGTAAACGCGGAGTTATCCAAGAAGCTGAAGGATGCACACACTGGTGAGTCCAGGATACCCTCCCTCTTGGATACCCGTCTCTTGGGGTTCTACCACTCCTCGTTCCAAACCGCTTTCTGTCATTCTGTAACGCCAGTCACTTTCTGCCGGCAGGCAACATGATCTGTTCGCCTTGTTCGGAGCTTCAACCGACGTCGAGGCCAGATTCGATGCTTTCGCGCCCTCCTTTTCCTTTCGCCGTGCTAATGCGTGTCTTGTGTTGGGCCTGGTCGTGGGCGGGCCCCGCAGAGATCGAGCGGCTGAAGCGCGCGGAGAAGGAGGCGAAGGGGGCGCAAGGCACGAAGGTGGAGCTGGAGGAGGCGAAGAGGGCGCTGGAGGAAGCGGAGTTCAAGAAACGCGACTTCGCGGAAAAGCTCGTTGCTTCTCAGTCCAGCGCTACTCGCCTCAAGGAGCAGGTGAATTGAAGAAGGCTGGCTTCGGTTGCGGTGCGCGTTAGTGTGATGCTTTGTGGCCTGAAAAAACTTCGATTCGTTGACCACTACTACTTTCCTTGTTCTCTCCTTTACTCGCGTTTCCGTTTCCGTTAACAACATTCTCTTTCCTCTCCTGCTCCGTTTCGTGATGCCTCAGGCGGCTCATCTGACTGCGAAACTCCAAGACCAGCGTCGGGAGCGGGAAAAGCTGGAGAAGCAAATGGACCAACTCGCAGCAGGATCCGGCAGCGCGGAGCAACTGACGGCAGCTGTGCGTAAAGAGAACGACGAGCTTAAAGCCCGGGTTTCCCTGGCGGAGCAGCGCTTGGCGGACAACCAGCGCCTGGAGGTGGAGTTCAAGGCAATGACGGGGCAGCGCGCGGACCTGGAGCTGCAGGCGGAGATGGCGCGCATGGGGAAGGAAAGCGCGGAGAAGCGCGCGGTGGAGGCGGAAGGGAAGGTGAAGATGGCGGAGGATGAGGGGAGACGCGCGGTGTGTGTGCTGGAGGAGAAGATGAAAGGGATGCAATGGGAGAAGGAGCAGCTTGCGGAGGAGCTGCAGGCGGCGGTGAGGGGGAGAGACGCGGAGAAGGGGGAGCTGGCGGGGAAAATTGCGTGCCTGGAGGCGGAACTTGCGGAGATGAAGCGCGAGGCGGGGAGATTGCAGGATGCGGCGAAGGAGGCGGGGAGGCAGAAGGCGGTGGAGGTGGAGCGGTTGCAGAGGGAGCTGGATGCGGCTGCTGCTGCACTGGAGGAGGTGAAGCTGAAGTGTGGGGAAGCGGAGGAGGCACTGCGCGCGGAAAAGGAGCGGAGGCACGCTGAGGTGGCGGCTGCGGTTGGTTCCGCGGAGAGGAAATGCGCGGAGTTCGAGGAGAGGGTGGCGGGACTGCTGAAGGCTGTTGAGAGGCTGGAGAGAGAGAACGCGGAGCTGATCGGAAAGGTGGAGCTCGGTGAGGAGGAGTGCAGACGGGTGTTGAAGCAGAGCCATGAGGCCGAATTGAAGGTGGGACGGCTTGAGAAAGAGTTGAAGGGGGTGGTGGAGGAAAGGGAGAGGATGGGGAACGAGATGGGTGTTGTGCGCGCGGCTCTGAAGGATGCGGAGCGGCGCATGGAGGCGCAGGCACAGGAGGCGCGCGCGCAGCTGCGCCAGTCGTACGAGGCGACCAAGGAGGAGGCGCGGAAGACGGGCGCGGAGATCGAGGTGCTACGGCGGGAGGTGGAGGTGCGCGCGAGCGAGGTGGCGGAGTTGGTGCGGAGGGCGGATGCGGCGGAGGCTGCGGCGGCGAAGGAGGCGGAACGGCGGTTGGCGGAGAGCAGCGCTGCGGAGAGTGCGCGCGCGAAGCTGGAAGGCAGGTGCCGGGAGGCGGAAGAACGCGTAGTGCAACTGCAAGGGGTGGTCGCTGGGGAGGAGGGAGAGATCGCCGGGCTTCTGGAGCGAGCGACGGCAGCTGAAGCGGCCGGAAAGAAGGCAGAGAGCGAGCTTTGGGCGATGGAGGCGGCGAAGGAAAAGGCGGAGACCGAGCTCGAGCGCGTGACGGCGGAATGCGAGAGACTGGCGCAAGAGATGGGGATCCTGCGCGAGGTGGTGGAGGATGTTGAAGGGCGCGTGGAGCGGGAGGCGAGTGAGGCCGCTGGACTACTGGTGAAGCTCACCGTTTTAGAGAAGGAGGTTGTAGGGCTGAGGTGGGAAGTCGAGGAGGAGAGGGCGAGGGCGGAGGATGCTGTGAGGGAGAAGGCGGAGGCGTGCGGGGAGGTGGAGGAGGGGAGGGGGAAGATTTCCGCGCTGGAGCGTGTGGTGGAGGAGGTACGAGAAGCGCTTGCTGCTGCAACGGCGGATGCGGAGATGGAGAAGGCTGGGAGGGACGAGGCGGCGGCGGAGGTTGCGCGCATGGAGCCGGAGATGGCGCGGGAGAGGGAGGAGATGGGGGCGAAGGTGGCGGAGCTTCAGGCGCAGGTGGATAAGCTGGCTTGTGAGGTGGATGCGGCGGGGGATGAGCAGCAGGCGATGCAGGCGAGGATTGACGAGCTGCTGCGCGACGTTTCGCAGCTGTCACACGATAAGGGTCGCATGGCGGCGGAGCTGAGCGAGGTTCAAGCGGCAGTCGTTGAGAAGGAAGCGGCTGTGGCCCGCGCGGAGGAGCGGCTGGCGGAGATTGAGCAGGAGGCGGAAGGACTGCGAGGGCAGTTGCGCAACGCGCAGGCTGACGCGGAGAAGGCGGAGAGGGCGGCGGAAGAGGAGAGGGCTGGGCGGGAGGAGGCGGAAGCGAAGGTGAGCGAGTTGGAGGAGAGGGTGCAACGGCTGGAGGGGAAATACGAGGAGGAGATCGGAGTGCTTCAGAAGAGGGTCGCGGAGTTGAAGCGGGAGCTGTCGGCGGAGCAGGAGCGCCGGCGCGAAGAGGTGGAGCAGCTGGCGGAACAGCTGGAGGAGGCGCGCGTGGCGCTGGAAGGCGCGCGCGCGGAGGAGAAGCGCGCGAGGGAGGAGGCGGACCGGCTGGACGGGGAGCTGGCAGCTGCGGTGCTCGCCACTGGAGCTGCGCAGCGGGAGCTTCAGGCGGAGAGGGCTGCGCGCGAGCTGGTTGAAGAGAAGGTTGCAGAGATGGAAAAGGAGAGGGAGGCGATGATGCGAGATCACGAAGATATGGTGGTGGCGCTGCAGCAGGAGATGGAGAGCGAGCGGGAAGAGGCAGCGAAGGAGAAGGCGTGGAGGCGGAGCGAGGTGGAGGAGGTGAAGGGAGAGATGGGGTCGATCGTGGTGGGGCTGGAAGGTAAACTGGCGGAGATGGGAGCGCGGGAGGGGAGGATGGAGGAGGAGGCGCGGCGGAAGCAGGAGGAGGTGGAGGCGTTGGAAAAGCGGGTGAAGGAGCTGGAGTGGGAGATGAGGCGGCGGAACGAGGAGCAGCGGCAGGGGCTGATGGCGGCGGTGCAGCGAGGGGTGGAGAGTGGGCGCGTGGGGGATGCGCTGGTGGAGGAGGTGAGGGAGCTGCTGGTGAGGCTGGAGCAGGAGGGGGTGCGCGCGCAGCAGGTGGTGCAGATGGAGGAGCGGATGCGTGAGCTGGAGGCCAAGCTGCAAGACGCAGATGAGCAGGTGGGGCTCTCTTCTTCTCTCCGCCCTCGCGCTTCTCTCTTTCTCATCCTCTCTCTCCCGACTCCTGATCCATGTTCTTCGCCATTCAAGCCTTGGTTTCTGAATCACATGTTCCTTTTGGAATCATGTAAGGAAGTTCTGGATGCTGTTCGTGTGTGAGAAGACGGTCCTCTTGCCACCACGTCATCACTATTCCTGATGTTTCTGACTGTTCATTTGCAGCTTGCTGAGCTGGCGGACAAGGAGGAACAGCTGTCGGCGTCTGAGTGGACCATTGAGCGGATGGGCGAGGAGCTGAAGCGCGCCAAGGAGGTGAGCCCCAAGGACCCATACTTTTAAGCCGTTTCAGGAGGAAAAGGGATGTGATACCAGCTCTCCTATCTGAGCATCTTAGCCCTGACCTTTTTATCAACAGTCCGTGAGCTCCTTCTTTGTTAAAATATCAGTTCCTGCCTACACATCCCAACCCCTGTAAAAAAATCGCTCGCTCCTCTCCGGACTCCCACCCCACAGGGCACTGAAGTCCGCAAGGTGGAGGTGTCCCAGCTGCAGCACCAGTTGCTGTGCGCCTCCGCCACCCTGGAGGAGCGCGAGAAGGACCTGGACGCGCTCAGGCGCATGCTGGAGGAGTCCAATGGCAAGCGCTGGCGACGCGCGCGGCAGATCAAGCGCATGGAGTGCGAGCTGGCTGCGCTGAGGGAGGAGCTCGGGCGGGAGAGGAAGCGGCGGAGGCCGGAGGGGAGCGGGGCAGATGGCGGGGAGGAGGAGCGTGAGGGGAGCCCCATGCGGTTGGCTTCTGGGTCGGCGCTTGCAGTTGGATTGGGACGAGCTCAGCAGGAGGGAAGCGGGACGCCTGGGCTCATCTTGGCGCCGAATCCTGGGCAGAGTGGGCTGTATGCGAGGAGGTTTAGGAGCCGGGTGGCTGCTATGGCTGCTGAGGGTAGGGAGGGGGTTGTGGAGAAGGGTGAGACGAATGACAGTGCAGGTGGAGGGATGCAGGGGGGTGAAGTGGTGGGAGTGTTTGAGTTCAAATCTCCTGCTGCTGCTCGTGCTGCTGCTTCTCCTGCTTCAGCTGCTCGTGGTGTTGCTGCTCCTGCTGCTGCTGTTGCTGGTGCAGCTGCTGCTGGTACGCCTGCTAAGTTTGCAACAGAAGGTGGTTTCAATGCAGTCATGGCAGGTGCTGCAGAGGAGGAAGAGGACGAGGAGGAAGCACCCAAGGCACTGAATTTCGACCTGGTGGAGCAGGAAGAGGAGACTGGCGCAGGAGTCCTGGGTGGAGAGAAGGTAGCCTTGGAGGCAGACCAGAGCAGCAAGGGCGCGGCAGAAGCTGTGGTTGCAGAAGAAGAGTCAGCGGAAGAGGAGCTTGCGGCCTTGAGGTCTCGCTTTGAGCAGGATGTGATGGGCGAGATAATGGAGGGCTTCGATGCCGAGGTTTCTCAGCTCCAGAAGCAGCTGGGCGAGGCTGAGAAGAAGCAGGCAGGAGAAGCGGCTGCTGATGTTGCTGTTGCTGCTGCTGGGGCTGCTGCTGAGGTGATGGAGGGGCTTCAGGAGGAGGTATCTCGGCTTCAGCAGCAGCTGGGCGAGGCTGAGAAGAAGCAGGAAGAGGCGGAGGAGGAAGCAGCACAGGCGAGCGTGAAGCTTGCAGTGCTGGAGAAGGAGCTTTCTGCTGCTGAAGCGGCGGGAGGAGTGGTGAAGGCGCTTCAGGAGGAGGCAGCGCAGGCGAAGCTGAAGCTGACGGTTCTGGAGAAGGAGCTTGCTGCTGCCGAAGCGGCGGTTATGCATGAGAGGAGGGCTGCTGCTGCCGTGAGGGTTGACTTGTCTGCTGTGACAAGCGAGCGTGACGGGTTGCTGCAGAAGGTGGTGAATCTGGAGCAGCAGGAGCATGCAGTTGTGGAGGCAACGGGGGGTGCGGAAGGGAATGAGATGGGGAGTGAGGTTGCTGCGATGAAAGCTGAAGTTGCTGCTATGGTGGGTGAGAGAGATGGGCTGCTTGAGAAGGTGGTGGAGCTGGAGAAGCAGGTGCAGGCTGCTGGTGAGGAGACGGGTGGAATGGAGGAGAGGTTGTTGGAGGGGGATGCTGAGAGGCAGCGGCTGGTGGCAGCTGTGCAGCAGAAGAGTGAGGAGATTGAACGGCTGGAGTTGATGGTTGCAAAGATGGGTAAGAGAGGGCACTCGGAGCGCATGGGGACGGTCATTGCTGCTGGTGAGGGGATGGGAGTGGGCGCTGGGGAGGCGGAGCCAGGGAGTGGGGATGAGGAGGCAGTGAACAGTGGCGTAGTGGATGGAGAGCAGGGATTGGACGGGGAGGTGAGGAGGCTGCAGGGGCTGGTAGGGGAGATGAAGGGGAGGGAGGAAGCAGCAAAGAAGTTGGCAGCAGAGAAGGCTGCTCTGGCTCAGCGGCTGGAGGGGAAGCTGAAGAAGGTGGAAGGGGATTTGAAGGAGAGGGAGGGGAAAGAGGCGCTGCTGAAGCGGCAGTGCAAGAACGCAGAAGGGGAGCTGGAAGCTGCAAAGGAGGAGGTGAAGTCTGCAGTGCAGGCGAGGCAGGAGATTGAGGCACAGGTGAGGGTCATGGCGGAGGAGGCTGCAGGGCTGAAGCGGGCGGCTGATGAGGCGGAGAAGGGACGCCAGGAAGCCGAAGCGAAGCTGGCAGGAGCTGACGGGCAGCTGAGGAGGCTTGAGGCGGATTTGGAGGAGGTCCGGGCAGCAAAAACTGCTCTTGAGGGTGAGGAGGGAGAAAGGGTGCTGCAGCTTCAAGCTGAAGCGGAGAAGTTGAGGGAGAAGGTTGCGGAGTATGAAAGGCAAGAGGAGGAGGCGCAGGTGAGTGCGGCAGCTGCTGCGGAGAGGGTTGAGAAGGAGCTGAAGGTGAGTGCTAGCCGGGTGAGTCAGCTGGAGAAGGAGGTGGAGAGGCGGAAGCAGGGGGAGAAGGAGCTGAGGAAGGAAGTTCAGAGGCTTGAAGGAGAGAGGGATCTGAGTAAGAAGCTGTTGGCTGCAAAGGAGATCGGCGAGGGGATTACGGCACGAGGGGAGGGGAATCGTACCATGGGAGCGAGCAACCGTGCTGCTGGGGGTGGGGTGGTGTTTCCGCGGGTGGTGAGCGAGGCTGGTGCGGAGGAAGGGGGGGTGGGTGCAGGGCGGTCTGCACTGAGGTCTCGGACAGGGGAGAATGGGGCGGGAGTGGAGGCGATGGGTGGGAGGGGGAATGTGAACAAGATGATTGCTGGTTTCTCTGCTGCCTTCCGTGCTGCCAGCCCCACCAAGGTTGTGAAGCCGCAGCAACATTCTAAGGCGTCTGGGCTGGAAGGGATTGTTGCGGTGGACAAGGAGAACGAGGGAGTGTAGCGGGGTGGTGGATAGTTAAGAACTTTTGAGGGGGGAGGTGGGGGCGGGGGTGGAGAGGAGGGGGAGAAGGGGGGTTGTCGTGTGTCGAGACATAAGGGGGATAAGCCATTTTGTCCCAGACAACACGTGCAGTTGAAGTTCTTCATATCTCATTTGCTTTCTAGTTTTTTTTTCAGTTACATGCAATGTAGGAATGAACATCTCTTGTTGGCACACACTATGCTGGCAGGATTTCCGTGTCAAGCACTGTGGGAATGCTACCGTATAATGCAGTGAAATTTACTCTCTTCCACAATTACCGGTATGAATGATTAAATGACTACTTCATGTGTTAAGGGTAAAAAGTTGTAAGTATTTTTACGAGTGCGCTTCTGGCGCGAACACAACCAAGGTACAAACATTTGGGCGGTTGCGAATTTGCGACCTGCTACAGTTCTGCACTGCACTAACGGCTTTCTCGATCGCACCAAGCTAAGTTGAAAACAAAGATACGAAGGGTGGCCATGTCTTGGGCTGTTTGTTGGAAGATTGGTAACTCATGCTGGTGTTGTGTGAGGGGAAAGGTGGGGTGGGGGGTTGAGCGTGATGTCTGGTCAGTGGTCAGGTCTCTGCATGGTATGCACTGTATGGGGAGGTATATTGTTGCATGTGATCCAACCAAACACTTAGGGCGCGTGTCTTTTGGAAATTATTGTGAAGTTCATGTTAACTCGAATTTACCCGTTTGAACTTTGGTCGACCTGTAGTAGACCATCTCGACTTTTGGAGGGGTAAATCTCAGCATTAAAATAACATCAAGAACGGGGCACAGCAAAGTTCGACTTTCGAAGTTCAACTCTGTACAGTAAAACCCGAGTCGCGCAATGATTTCGTAGGTTACCCGGCTTGACGATGTAGCTCGTGACCGAGTCCGAATTCAGTAACGTGGTCTTGTGCCGTCCGAAACCATCGCAAACGTCGCGTATACACTGTGCACGAGGGGAAGAACACACGTTTGGATAAACGTGCACGTGGAAATTCGACCCCAGTTCATTGTCCTTCGGTTTCATCAATCTCTGAACTCGGACACACGTTTGTCGCGATCAGACACTAACGAAGTGTGCGAAACTGGTTACCAGCAAAAGTTCGACCTCATTTTTGAACTTCTACACCAAAAGACACGCGCCCTTACAGTTGCGTCGCTGAAAATGAGAGGAAATGCTTAGTTGCCGTAGACAATGCTTCGAGTTTCAGTTGTATCTGCCCGTCTCATCAAAGCGGCACTATTTTTAGGGCAAGTGGCCTTTCAAGTGGTGAGAAGGTGAGGCGTTGGTTATGATTGACATGAAGTGATGCGCCATGTCCTTCGTCCTTCGAAAATTATTCAGCCATCAACACCGCCACCCAAACTGTCACCAGCTTATGCGAAATCCTCGCCAGCTCTCGCCGCCGGATGGACAGTAAGGACATGAGCTATTCGCGCCAAACCTATCGCCGGTTACCACCACCCGAGAGACACTCCCAGCCAAGCACGTCTCGTCGCAATTCACTGCGCGACAAGAGCGACGAACCCAAGCCTCTGGCCACCCAACTTCTTTTATGGCTGTCCCCTGCAACATCACCCTATCGTCCTTCCCTCGCCTCTTATTCCCGAATCGCGTGCCATCCCCACACGATTTTTTTACAGCCAGGCTTTTTGAACAAGGAGAATCATATCTGGCTTATACCACCTCCTCCAGCACATCACATGCTAGTGCTACTGATTTCTGCCAGTTCGTTTCCTAATCGGGCCTGTGTCTTTATATGATCTCCACTAATGGCCGTACTGAACGTTCTATGGACCAGAACGTTGTCAATACGCGCTCTTTTTGTGAAAGGTTCGCTATTGTTGCGGCATTTCAACACCTTCTGACACTGCGTTGGTTACTTCCGCCGACGACTGAACTGCTCACTAAGCATCTCAGCATTGCCGTTATCTCGTCCAGGAATCTCGTTCGCGACGCGCAGCAACAGATGCCACGGCAGTAAAACTGCTTACACGCAGTTGGTCTGGCAACGACAGGCGAACTTGTAGCAAAGATGGACGGGAGTAACAGTAACGAAGCCCATTCCTCGCTTTTGGCACGACGTCACGCGCGAAACCTCCCGGAACTCACAGCCGCGCAAGCTCGCAGGGGGGAAGTTGGCGGGATTCAGAACAGCGGAATTCACAGTGGCGGGTTTCGTAATAACGAGCTTCATAAAGGCGGGTTTCTTGACGCCGGATTTCAGAACGGCAGCTCTCCGGACAACGGTTTCGGAATCCGCGTGTTCAACGGCGAGCATCGCGGACGTGATTATAGCGCGAGCGTCAGCGAGGGTGTGACAGTAACGAATGATCATGTTGATCCCAGGCCAGGCGCTTTCGACGTTGATTGGTTAAGCCAGCCTCGGCACGCGCCAGCGAAGCGACTGGAGCGGCGCACGTCTCTGTCCCCCCTGGCGCAACTTCAGGAGTTTTATCAGGTGCAGTCGGCGCAGGAACAGAGACCGCGGCAGGGGACGGGGGAGCAAATGTGGCAGGGGGCGGGGGAACGCAAGGGGGAGCGCGAGGGGAAGCAGCAGAGCCAGATTTTGCTGAGTCAGCAGCGACAGCCAGGTCGCGGGATGGTCACGCGGCTCGGTCGACGCTCGTCCATCGACTTAGCGGATGTCGCGGCGGCGAGAGCGGCGGCAGCCGCGGCGAAAGAATCACCCTCGGCTCGTGAGACTTCTAGCAAAGGCGGCGCCGCAACCGCCGGCAGCAGTTCCGCTTACGGCGGCGCGAGGAGGCTACATCTGTCGAACCGCCAGACAAGCGGAGATTGGGCGGCGTATGCTGCGCAGGGGAAGAGCGGCGCGCAGGTGAAGAGCGGCGCGCAGAATACGCCCGCGCACGCGCAAGCGCAAGGGCAGCGTGGTCGGTCGCTTTCCCCCCTCGCGAACGCCTCCGGGGAGGACGAGCACACGTCTCCCCGCTTGCGCGAGGGCGGAGCCGGCGGCGCAGACTCCGCGCACGCGCAATATTGCCCACACAAATCCCCGCGAGCTGCCCGCCTCCCCCTTGGTTCCCCGCGTTCTTCAGCTAATGAGTCCGCTGGTGCGCCTATGCCAGCGCTTGACCCCACTCAAGCGGGGATGCTTTTTTCCGCCGTTTTGCACCGTGGGAAAGCCGCCGGTTCGCCCGAAGCGGCGGAATCGGCGGAAGGTCGCGGTCGCTCTTCCCCCCCCGCTTCAGGGGGAAGTTCTGCCGCGTCGGGGCACAGGCGGGGTCATCGGCGCGCCGCTAGCGCGCAACTGAACTCTATGGACACCGCGGCGGTGCTTTTCGGCCGGGCAGCGCAAGCACCCGCGCAAAGGGCGGAGGCGGAAGCGCAGGCGCCGGGGGAGAATGCGGGAGCTGAAGCGGAGGGATCGGGGGAAACGAACAGGCGCGCGCAAGCACAGGCGCAGACGCAAGCACAGGGCCAGGAGCAGCATATGAAGGAGCGAGAGCAGTCTACTGCGGACTACGTTACCTTTCCCACCGGAATTTCCGCAAGGACAAGAGCAAACCTAATCATGCCGAAATCGCCCAGCAGCGGAAGCTTGCGAAACCGCAGCCCGCTAAAAGCGGCGAAATTGACGGGCCAACGGGAGTTGATCTCGATTGGCAGCAGCGGCAGCAGCAGCAGCAGCATCGGCGGCAGCAGCAGCAGCATCAGCGGCAGCAGCGGCGGCGGCGGAAGCGGCAGCGAGAGCAGGGAGAGACCGTTGTTTAAGTCTGCTACTAGCGGGAGTGGCGGCGGTAATAGCGGCACGGGCAGCGGCAAGGGCAGCGGCGGCGAAGGAACAGATGCGGGGAGCAGGACGGGTGGCGCGAGCGCACGTGCGCCTGGTGTGCGGGCAAGTGCGAGTTTCGGAAGCGCAAGTGGAGGAAGCGCAAGTGGCGGAAGCGCAAGTGGCGCGAGCGCAAGCGCACCCTTCCGCGCGGAGCGCGAGCGCTCGCCCCCCCTCTCGTCCCCCCTTTCCCGCTCGCGCCTCGTCTCTCACGTGTCCCTGGGCCCCGCGATTAGCGCCGAAATTCGTGCCGCCGCTACCGAGGCCGCGCGGAGAGTAGGGGGAGAGGGAGGAGGCGCACAAGGAAACGACGACGGCGGAGCAGGGAGCGGGAGGCGACCGGGCGGAAAGGGGGATGACGGAGGAAGGGAAATTGCCGGGAATCGGAAGGCAGAAACAGGCGGGCGACAGGCTCTGTCGTTAGGTTTAAGCTTTTCGGTGGGGCGAGAAGAATCGTCGTTGGGATTAGGGTTAGGGGGCTGGAGCGCAAGCATGGCGGCTTTCGCTGGCGGAGGGGGGAGCGTGGGCGGAGGGGGAGGCGGCGCAGGGGGAGCGGGCAGCGGGGTTGTCCAATCGCCGAACAGGAGACGCGGAATCCAAGAATTCGCGTTTCAGCCCGTCGCGTCTCCTCTTGGGGGTAGCACTGTAGCGTCTACAGTGGGAAACAGTTATACTGTAGAGAAGGATTTATATTCGTCAGGGTCAATATATTCTTCTGAGGCTTCTCCTAAGGGGCGTGGGGGGATGGGAGGGGGCGGGGAGGCGGAGAGGAGTGTGAGTTGGAGGGGGAGATACGAGAGGAGGCCTCTTGCCACGTCAGCAGTAGGAGAGAAGGAGATAGGAGGAGGGGGAGGAGGAGGAGGAGCAGGAGGAGAAGCGGAAGGTGGGGGAGGGGAGGAAGGTGATGGGGTGCTAGAGAGAAGTTTAAGTGCTAGGAGGCGTGACCAGGCGGAAATGGAACGAACACTAAGCACCAGACGAAGGGAAGCAGCAGGAGGAGGAGGAGGAGGAAGAGGAGGAGAGAGAGGAGGGAGTGGGGAAGGGGAAGGAGAAGACGGAGAGGTGGGTTTGGAGAGAACGTTGAGTGCAAGGAGGAGGGATCAATTGGAATCGGAGAGGAGCCTTAGCTCAAGGCGACGGCAGGAGGCTTTAAGTTTTGCAACGTCCCAAAGCTCGCGAGAGGAGGCTTTAAGTCTTGAGACGTCCCAAAGCTCGAGACGAGAGGGGGCTTTAAGTACTGATGCTGGTGCTGGTGGTGTTGGCTTGGGCATGCGCCGTTCTCCTAGCGAAAGTGCTCTTAACGTGAAGGGATGTAAGAGTGTAACGAGTGATTATGAGGGAAGACGGTCTCACTTCCCTTCGCTGTCACCACCGCCGTCCTTATCCGCGTCTCCCGTTTTGCTTTCTCCCGTTGGCTTGTCCATGCCGAACCAGCGCCAAGCCTCTTTGCAAGGCTCGGGAGAAATAGAGCCCGAGGAGGAAGGCACGGATGAGGAGGAAGAGATGGAGAGGGAGAGGGAGACGGAAAGGGAGAAAAAGCTGGAGATTATTCGGAAGCAGGAGGAGTTGCAGCAGCAGCGGGCAGCTCTCCAGAGGCAGCAGGAGGAGCTTGTGAGACAGCAGCAGCTGCTGCTGCAGCAGCAGGAGGAGTTGCGGTTGCAAGAGGAAAGGTTGCTTGCAGAGCAGGAGCAGCAGGAGAGGGAGAGGGAGAAAGAGAGGGAAAAGGAGAGGGATAAGGAGAAGGAGAAGAAGAAGGGGCAGGTGCGGCAGTTGCAGCAGCAGCGGCAATCCAGCCGCTCGGGTAGACGGCCAACCCTTACTAAGATATTGTCAGGGAGGCAGAGCCACAAGCAGCAAGAGCAGAAGCAGGAGGAGAAAGAGAGAGAGAAAGAGAAGGGAGAGGGCAAGAGCGAGCAGACGCAAGGGCAGCTGGCACAGCCAGCACTGCCATCTCAGCAGCAGCAGCAACCACAACCGCAGCAGCAGCCGCCACAGCAGCATGTGGGGAGGGGTAACGAGTTGATTTTTGAGTCGACTCAAAAATCAACTCATGTGGGGAGGGGTAACCAACCGATTGCTAGATTCTTCTCTGCTGCTTCTGGTACCCTCAAGTCTCTGATTGGTGGTGGCAGCAGCAGCACTGGTGGTGGTGGGGCTGCTGCTACTGGTAGTGGATCAAGCAGGGGGGGTCACGGTGCAACCTCCCCTCTGCCATCCCCGCTTCCCTCTCCTGTCCTCTCCTCCTTCTTTCACACTGCTGCTGCTGAGGCTGCTCCTGCTCCTGCTCCTGCTGCTGCCGCTGCTGCTGCTGCTGCTGCTGCTGCTGCTGCTGCTGCTGCTGCTGCTGGTGCAGTTGATTCAGATGCTGCCCTTGCCGACCCTGCTGCTTCGGGTTCCGAGCCACATGCGGTGCTGGCAGCAGAATGCTTGGAGGCCACAGGCTCGGAAAACACAGGTGCGGCATCAGCAGGCTCGGCAATTGCAGGCTCAGCAATTGCAGGTTCGGCAGCAGGAGTGGAAGCAGTGGCAGCGGCAGGCTTGGAAGCCACTTTCAGGCTCGGAATACCTGGAGATTCTCCTGATGACGTGGCAGGATTTCTCACGACTCTTCAGCAGAAGCAGAAGCAGGCCAATCGGCGTGCAAGGCGCGTGTCGTGTGCTGCTGATGGTCACGATGTGAGGGGGAGAAGGCCTGGTGCTGCTGCTGCTGCTGCTGATGATGATGATGATGATGATGCTGCTGCTGCTGATGATGCTGATAATGATGATGCCGCTGATTCTAGTTCTGCTGCTGCTGCCGCTGCCGCCGCTGCTGCTGCCTCTGCTGCTAGGATTGGTAGTGTTAGGGATGGGGGCGGCGGTGTTGCTGCTGCAGCTGCTGCTGCTGCTGCTGCTGCTGCTGCTGCTGCTGGGACTTCCAGTGCTAGTGGTGGGGGTCGGGATGTTTGGGCTGCTGCTGGTCTTGGTGTAGCTGGTGCTGCCACTGAGTTTGGTGGTGGTGAGTCAAGAACAGCCATGAGTCGCCGCCCACGGCGACAAAGTGCCGAATATATCCGCCCAAACATGCTAGCAGACAAGGAACGCCACACCGCTGACACTGGCTCGTTTAAAGACAAGGACAATGAACAGGAAGACGATATGAACAGTGATTTGAACAGTGAAGTGAACAGTGACCTAGGGTTTGATTCCCCGGACCATCCCGCCAGGTTCGTTAACCACTCTGACCGCAGGGTCGGCGCCCGAGGCAAAGCCAGGCTCGGCGGAGGCCCGTTACCGCACCAAACGGCTGTGCACGAGGGTCGGGGAGGGTGGGAGGTGCGGGGGGGAGGGGGGGGAGGGGGCAGTGGTGTACTTGCTAGCAGAAGCTGCAGAAATGAGAGTGATGCGGATTATAGTGTGGGTTCTCCTGGGAATGGTGTTGCTATGCTGGCGGGGTTTCAGCTAAAGGGTATTCCTACGGAGCAGCTAGGGTTGCTACTAGAGCAGCAGGCGGAGAATCGAGTTGCTAGGGCGAAGGGCGGCAGTGGGAGTGGTGCTGCTGGCGCTGCTGCTGCTGCTGCTGCAGGTGCATCAGGTGCTGTGGCTGGTGGCGGTGGTGGTGGTGTGAGGAAGGGTAGGATGGGTGGAAGCGCTGGGGAAAATGATATGCAAGGGTATTATAGTCAGCACGATGCTGATCAGCAGAAGCAGCAGAAGCAGCAGCAGCACCACCACCACCATCAGCAGCAGCAGCTTCAGCATCACCAGCAGCAGCAGCATCGCCGGGGGTACTATTTCGGAACCGAGACCTCTGCAGCTCCTGGCTTCTCCATGACCTCTGTTGGTGCTCCCTCTGCCCTGCTCTTTCCCCACCAGCATAATCATCACCAGCACCAGCACCAGCACCAGCACCCCCAGCAGCAGCAGGAGGCGGACCATCAGCATGCAACGAAAACAGGAGCAGCGAAAGCAGCTGGTGCTGCTGCCGTCGCTGCCGGTGCAACCAGTAATGCTGCTGGTACCGGAGCTACCAGTGCTGCTGCTACTACAGCAGCACCCGGGCCTAGCAGTCGACCAGGAGGGGGGATAGGGCCCTTGCAAGGGCGCGCAATAGGCGTAAGCAGCTTGAAGGACCACCACAGAGGGACGTACCCCAGCCTTCGCCCCACAGACTACATATTTGAGAAGCCGTATGAGGATTTGAGAACGAGGTATATTCTGCACAACAAGAAGCTGGGCAGTGGGCAGTACGGGGTGATCCGGCGGTGTCTGGAGATCAGCAGTGGCATGCAGCTGGCGTGTAAGACGGTCAAGAAGGCTGAGATCAAGGTGAGCAGCATAAACGTCTGGGCTGGAGGAAAGGATGGGGGGGGAAAGGGATCTCTGTGTATGCAGTTGGCGTGTAAGACGGTCATGTCGGCCGAGGTTAAGGTGAAAAAAAATAATTATGAAAAAAATTGGGAAAAAATAATAATTATTATTGCGTTTCTTATGCTGGATGTGCGAGCCTTGGGTGTGAGCAGCTTGAAGGATCGCCACAGAGGGACGTACATACCCTAGCTTCGCCCCACAGACTACATCATTCAGAAGGCGTGGGTCATCCCTTCTTTCCTTCCCTCCCTCTAATCACGCATATTTGTGTGTGAGGCACCTCAAAGGCATCCCCCTGTTTCCCTTTTCTTCCCCTCTCTGTCTGTCCATCCATCAGTCACATGAGGAGGCACAGGATTTGAGGAAGGAGGTTGCCACTCTCTCCATGCTGCAGGGCCATCCCTTCATCGTTCGGCTGCATGACACTGTGGAGGACAGGAAGGTACGGGATGACAGGTTCGGAATTAGGTTCGTGGAACAGGCTTTGGAAGAGGTTCTGGAACAGGTCCGGGAAAGGAGTCGTAATGTAATTGTCCATTCTGCAGAGACCAGTTTGACCTCGTTGACCTATTTCACCTCTTTGCCTCTCCTGGCAGTGTTTTGCCAACTGTGTTCTCAGCTGGTGGCGGCGCTGCTGCACTGATCTCTTCTCGTTCCTCCCCACCCATAATCTCTTTGCCATTGCTCATTCCTCTCTTCCCTGTGTCCCACAGCACGTCCACATGGTGATGGAGCTATGTACTGGAGGAGACCTGTTCGACCGAGTAGCAAAGGACGGCCCCTACAGCGCGGCAGCGGGCGCCAGGTTGTGTGCGCAGCTGGTGGCGGCGCTGCTGCACTGCCACCGCCACGGCATCGTGCACCGCGACGTGAAGCCCGAAAACATCCTCCTTACAAGCAGGCAGCTAAATAGTGATATCAAGCTGGTTGATTTCGGCATCGCGACCTTCTTCCAGGAAGGTGAGCTTGGTTTGATTTGGTGTGTGGGAGGGTGGGGAAAGGAGATGAGGGGAAAGAGGGGTTGAGAGGGGTTGAGAGGGGTTGAGAGGGAGCACTTCGGCGCGGGAGGGGGTGCGCGGCTGTGCTGCTGTTGGTGTACCAGGGGGAATACGGCCAGGTATATTGGGAGTCGTATTTTTTAATATCAACACCACACACACCCACTTGATAACAGGAGAGAGACTGAAGGAGCTGATGGGAACGCCGCAGTACATGGCACCGGAGCTCATCCAGGGGGAGTACGGCCCCGAGGTGGACGTGTGGAGCGCCGGAGTCGTCATGTACATTGCCATGTGCGGCGTGCCGCCCTTCTGGGCTTCGTCCAATCGCTCGCTTGCGGAGGCGATTCGAGGGAAGGAGGTCAGCTTTAAGAGCGCCAAGTGGGCTGGCGTGCCGGAGGAGTGCAAGGATTTGATTGGCCGGATGCTGGATAAGGACCCGAAGCGGCGAATAACGGCTTTAGAGATACTTGGTGAGTGTTTGATTGAGTTTCTTGTTCTTTTTTTTTGTAGCTCGCTGTAGTCTCGTGGTATGAACGATGGTACCACTCCACCCCCATTTTTGCTGCTTTCCCAGCTTTCTTCCTCTCCCAGTCCCCCCGAGCCCTACCCCCCCACCTCCTCACCCACCCCCTCTCCTCGATGTCCCTTATCCTATGATGTCTCTTACTGCAGGACATCCATGGATACATGTATCTGCACTCTGATATTGCTGAGTGCAATTACTGCTCCATTTTTACTAGGCATTCATTTTGTTTCATGCACCATTTTTGTAGGTTACAAATGGAAGGATTTGAATCGAGTAAGGAGTTGTATGAGGTCACCCAGTTAACATTACTATAGACAATGTGCATTTTTCTAGTGAAATTTTATTTTATTATTGTTACGAGTGCAATTGAGTGAACGAACGAGAATTGCACTATCGAAGCAAGAGTACAATGAGCGAAGGCATGAGCGAAGAATATATAGCGAAACTACAGTGGTAACGGTAATGGACTGTGGTTGTCGCGCGACGGGCCTGGGACTGAGGTTGGGAAAAGTGTCGAAGCGGAGGCCCGGAGCGCGGGTTACCCGCCGAGCCGTGAGGTCGGGGTGCGACGTGCGAAGGTGGCGGGCGGATTGTCGATGCGAGGATTGCGAGTGGGTAACGGTGCTGACTGTGGTGCTACAGTGATGTACGCGCTGAGCAGGGACGCGAAGTAAGGAAAAAGAGGTTTTCCTTACACTACAAACCCCCTTAAGGAGGTCCTCCTTACGAAAGTGCGTGTACATCCCTGAAATTCCGGCTGCGCAGATACTCGGTGAGGACGGGGTGGTTTTCGATTCTGTCCAGGGGAACCCAATTGTCTTCGGTGGGTGTACGGTCCTTCCAGCGGAGTAAGAACTCGATCCTTCGGGCTCCTCGAGGGTCGCGAACTCTGTGACTCAGGATTTTCTCGGGGGTGATGATTGGTTCAGTCGGTGGTCTTGTCATGCTGGCTGGGCGATTGCGTGGCAGTTGGCTCGTGGACGGGACGTAAGGGCGAAGTAGGCTGACGTGGAATGAGGGGCTGACGTACCAGTCAGCAGGGAGGAGGAGGTGGGCGGTGACAGGTGTAAGCATGTGGCTTATGCGAAATGGCCCGCAGTATCGGGGGCGGAGTTTCGGGGTGATAAGTGACAGGTCTGCGGTGGCGGTCGGCGTTGCGTTTAGCGATGATGTTAGCTTTTTTAATTGCGTCTGCTGCCCTGGTCCGTGCTGCTTGCAAAATTTCGGCGAACTGTTGCGCGCGTGGAACCGGGTTGTCGGGATTCGGGGTCATGGGTACTGTTGGGTCTTGTCCGTGTGAAAATGAAACGAGGAATGAGGAGCCATGGCTAGGTAAGCCCTAGCTAGGCAAGAGAAAGTTTAGGCAAAAGAGAAGAGGGGTTTTCACTAGCAGCAATGAGGATACATATAGCAAACCCTAGATGAGTTGTACTCGCTATAGAGCACCCCACTACAGGCTAGAGAATAACATTCTGACAGTCCGTAATTCAGGTAAAACGGTGACTGTTGGGTCGTGGCGGATGGGGCGTTGTTGTATGCGAATTCGATGAGTGGCAGTTGCTGTTCCCACGTGTTTGGGTCGTCGCACGTGGCCCGGATGAGCTGTTCCATGGTCTGATTTGTCCGTTCTGTCTGTCCGTCTGTTTCGGGGTGGTACGATGAACTAAACTGTAGTCGCGTGCCGAACTGCTGCCACAGGTTCCGCCAGAAGTTGCTGGTGAATTTCGTGTCTCTGTCGCTGATGATTGATGCTGGTATCCCGTGCAGTCGAACGACGGTAGAGATGAAGAGGCGGGCTGTTTCTTCGGCTGTGATTGATTTTTTGCAGGCTGCGAAGTGTGCCATTTTCGTCAGTCGATCGACGACGACCAGGATCGCGTCATTTCCACTCGCCCCGGCCGGTAACCCCGTGACGAAGTCCATCGTCACCTGCTGCCAAGCACGCTCTGGAGGTGGGATTGGCTGCAACTGTCCCGCCGGCCGCTTCCGTGTTGACTTCATGATCTGGCAAGTGGGACACGATGCCACGTGTCGCTGCACGTCGGTCAACATTTCGGGCCAGTAATAATACCGCTGCAGCTGCTGCCGTGTTTTCTCTACCCCGAAATGTCCCGAGGTAACCCCGTCGTGTGCCTCCTGTAATAGTAATTCCCGTAGCAGTGTGTACCCTGGTACCCAGATGCGGTCGGTCCCGGCTTTTACGTAATAGACTCCCTTGGCTGCTGCGAACTGCTGCGAATTTCCTCCTGTGAAGAATGGGTCCGTTTGATATCCGTGGGTAAATAGTCCTGTCAGTAGCGGGCTGGTCTGGGCGAGTAGTATCGCGTGGATCTGGGCAGTGGGGCGGGTCAGTGCGTCGGCGATGTTCGAGGCTCCTTTTTTATAGGTGACTGTGTAGTGGAAGTCTGACTCGAGGAAATCGAGCCACCGAATCTGTCGTGGGTTGAGGTGGGGCTGTGCGCGGAGGTACTGTAGTGATCGGTGGTCTGTCCGTACTGTCACGTCTGCGCCGGTCAAGTTGCAGCGCCACACTTTGAACGCATGCACGATCGCGGGCATTTCGCGGTCGTGTATCGGGTAATTTCGCTCGGGCGGATGCAGTTTTCGTGACTCGTATGCGATGGGCTGTAGGCCATTGCCGAAGTCCTGTAGCAGTACGGCTCCGATGGCGATATCGCTTGCGTCGGTAACTACTTCGAATGGGCGGTGTGGGTCGGCGATACGCAGGACGGGCGGTGAACAGAGAACATTTTTCAGGGCAGAGAAGGCAGCATGCTCTTTCTCCCCCCACGTAAAAGCGACCCCCTTCCGCAGTAAATCCGTCAGTGGGGCAGTTAACCGTGCCATATCGGGGACGAACCGACGCACATAATTAACGAACCCTAAAAAGCTCTGCAGTTCCGTGATGTTCGTCGGGGGACGCCACGCTTTTACCGTATCCAGCTTCTTTGGGTCGACTTCAACTCCAGCCTCCGAAATAACGTGCCCCAAAAATTCTAGTCTGTCCCGAAAAAACTCGCACTTAGAGCCCTTGGTTAGTAACCGATGTTCCTCTAAAACTTTAAATACTGCTTCGAGATCCGCTAAATGCTGCTGCTTGTCGCGACTGTAGACGAGGATGTCGTCGAGGTAAACTATCACGCATTTATCTAAGAGTGGCCTAAACGCCTCGTTCATGGTCATCTGAAATGTTGCGGACGCGTTGGTCAGCCCGAAAGGCATCACCGTGTACTCAAACGACCCGTACCTAGTCCTAAATGCTGTCTTTGCGCAGTCCGATGGTTCGACCCGAATCTGGTGGTAACCCCCCCGTAAGTCTATTTTCGAAAACACCCGTGCTGTTCGCAGTTGGTCGATCAGTTCGTCGGCGCGGGGAATGGGGTACCGCGACTTGACTGTTACCCTGTTGAGCGCTTGGTAATCGATGCACATGCGAAACCCTCCGTCTTTTTTCGGTGTGAACAGTATCGGTGCGGCGAACGGTGACGAACTTGGTCGAAGAAACTGCTTCTCTAACAAATAATCTAACTGCTTCCTCAGTTCGTCGAGCTCGGGCTGTGTCACTCTGAACTGGCGCTGTACAGTTGGCTGTGCCCCCGGTTCTAACTCGATCCTATGATCATGCGCCCGCTGAGGTGGCAGCCCTTCCGGTAAGTCGTCTGGAAAAATCCCCGGGTACCGTTTCAACAGTTCCTGTAGTTCGGGCGGTACTGCTGCCAACAGTTTCTGAAAATCGCTCGGTTGCTCCGCTTCTCCTACTAATGCTATACCTACTGCGTACACGTCAGCTCCAGCGGCGACAACCCGTTTCATCGTGATGGCGTTGACGTGGACCGTTGAAGACTCGGGCGACTGCCAGCGAGGTAGCATGACCCAGTTACCGCTACTTCGCACAGTGCAGCTACCCGTCGTCCAGTCGATTCGTGGGTTGTACCGTCGTAGCCAATCACGTCCCAGTAAAACATCATGCCCATCCAATGTCGTCGCGAGCATTTCCTGTGTAAACCCGAAGTTTCCCCCGCAGCGAACTTTTACTCTCTCCACCTTCTCCCGTATGGCCAGCGGCGTGCCGTCAACTAAGCGTGCGTCGATCTCAGGTAAGCAGCGACTAAGTGTCAGTTGTAATTTCCGCGCAGTTGCGATATTAACTAAACTGTGGCTTGCTCCTCCGTCAATAAAAATCTTCACTGCTGCTCCCTGTATTTTCCCGTGGATCAGTACTGGGCAATCCGTCGTTGTACCCTCCTTATTCATCCGAGCCCGATCGATGGCGTGAATCGGTACTGTGACTCGGTGAGGGTCGGTGCGGTTGGGCGAGCAGGCAGTCTCGTCAGTAGTTGGCCCAACTTCTACTGACTGCTGGCGTTTCCCTGCCTCTGAGACTCCCTCCCCTGCTCTGCTCCGCGGCGCCTTAGCTCCTCTGGGCATTCGCTCTTGCGATGGCCCGGCCTGTTGCAAGCAAAGCAGCGCCCCTTAAACGGTGCGGCAGCTGCATTCGTTGCAACAGCGTTTACAGTGGCGTGCTCGATCGGTCCCCGAGGACGATGTCCGTAGTAGGACCCCGGTCTCGGTCGGCGTAGAATGTCGATTTTCTCGGCGAGCGCGAGAATCTCGTTGAAGTTTGAGAGTCCGCGCAGCATGATTTCGTGCGAGATATCCGGCTTCAGCCCTCCGACGTAACGGTCCACCCGCTCCGCTTCGTGCATGTAGCCGACCTGCTCGCAAAGTGCGAGAAAACCGCTCGTGTAATCTTGAACCGACCCGAGCTGCCGCCAAGTGCGCAATCTCTGACGCGCCGAAATAGAAGCCGCGATCGGCTCGAAGCGCGCCCGAAGCCCTGCGCACCACGCATCCCACGTGCTGTATTGGGCGGTCTCGCAGAATGAACTCCAGGTGACAGCTGGACCCGTGGGCCCTTCCTCTTGCGACGGTGGCTCGTAGGCGCGTGGCGACGTCACGATGACTCGCCACCGGTCCATGGCGGGGCCCCTTAGCAGCGAAACTGCATACCGAATCTTCGCTGCGTCCGACACGACGTAATTCGCGTCGAAGAAGACGTTCATCGTGAAGACCCACGATTGAACCGTCGGACCTCCACGCTGGCTCGGGTCGAAGCAGGGCGGGCGTTGCG